GGAGCAAAAGAGAAGCAAAAAGAGATAGAAGCAAAGAAAGAGAGAAAGAGAGCGCGCACGTCGTACAGTGCCATAGAGAGGAAAGTGTCGCCGGTTTGAGCGGACAGGAAGAAGAAGCGGAAGAAATCGCGCCATGTGATCGTCAGTCAGTGCAAAAGTGCGCGAATCGCGGCGTAATCCACGGAAGTAGCCACAACCGGAAAGATCCCCTTTCGTTCGTTCCTGCTTCTTCTCTTCTCCTGCGGAATTACGAAGAACGGCGAGAGAGTGAGGGAGTGAGAGAAGGAGAGAGAGGGAGAGAGAATCGTCGTCGTCATCGTCGTAGTCGTCCTCATGCTCGTCTTTCTCGTCGTCGTCGTGCTCGCCGCCGCCATCGTCGTCTAATTTTAAGTGTTAGATAATGCACACCGGTGCGCACCGGTGCGCTCGGATACTAAAATGGTACCACGCGCGCGCGTGAACGGTCGACGACGCTTCTCCACCGACGGCGACGACGGCGACGCCGTGTGAGATTCTCTCTCTCTCTCTCTCTCTCTCTTTCTCTCCTTCTTCCTTTCACGCATTCTCGCACTTCTCCCGATCCGCGAATCTGCCCTTCTACGTCCGTCTGTTGCGCGACGTCGTCTCGGCCTCCTCCATCTCCTCTCGCTCGCTCTCACGAAATAAACGAGATAAGTCGTACACTGCGCTTTCCTCACACCGCCGTCCATCGAGACGCTCGGGGGTTTCTCGCCACGTTACTTCCTGTCTCTGCGATCTCGCTTCCGGAACCTGTACGCGCGAGATCCTCGCTTCTGCGTTCCGCCCCGTCTTCCCATTCTCTCCCCGATACATTTGTCTTCTTCAAGCCGAACCCGCAGTCCGGGAACGTCTCACTCGAGCTAGACTCTCTCGCGCAGTTCCCTCGTAAGTCGTACGATTTTTCGCGCTCCGGCTCTCCTTTATTAAGATCGTCCTTTTCGTCTTCGAGCTCGAGGACGAGGCGACTTCGTTTCCCCTCTTTCATCTGCGCCAATTTCACGCGACTTCTCATTCAAACGTCCCACCGTTCTCGACAGATACACAGTGCTACCTGTCGCGCTTCCTTTTAACTCGCGCCTCCTTCGCCTAAACACTTCATTCCATTTCAATTGTCCCATGATGAGGCTCGTGCTTTCCCGTCGCAGTTTGTTACCAGCTGCCCTCCGCACTCGCGACTTGCTTGACATCCTCCTCGCGCGTTCGCCAACCCGACGACGGCATGGAGAACGTTCCAATATTGTTGCGCCTTGTTCCGCAATCCTTTCTCTCCCTCTCTCCCTCTCTCTCTCTCTCTCTCTCTCTCTCTGCCTCTCTCTCTTTTTCATCCGTTTCTCCTTCTAATTTACGCGCGCTCCTATATCCGGTTTACTCTTACTAACTCGGACCTCTCCCACCCTCTCGCACACTCTCCTACCTACCTTCTCTCATTTCTCCCCTTTGACTCATCTTCTACGACCGTGCCGATTTCGCCATCCCACCTTCTATTTTGCACCGCCGCCGCCTTCGCCTTCTCCTTCTCCTTTCGCCGTCTCCTCGTTCTTCCCTACGTCGTCGTCGTCGTCGTCGGCGCCACGTTTGCCGACCTACTCCTTCCTTCGCGCACTCGTCATCGCGCTGCATATCTCCGGGGTGCATCTCCGGTGCTTCTCCGCGCTGGACCGCGCGCACGCTCAGTTTTACTTGACCGTCATTCTTCCGCTTCCGCCTTTTAAAGGCTTACCCTCCTTTACCTCGCTACACTAGCTTCGCTCTGTCCGCGCTTTTCTTTCTCTTTTTCGTTCTCGTATTATTTTCTTTTCGACTCTCTTCCGCCCTTCCTGGATGAAGTCCCAGCCAGGGCTCTTCGCATCTCCTCCCGCCGTGCCTTCCTCGCTTCCCTTGATCCCTCCTCGCTTCCCTTGATCCCTCCTTGCTTCCCTTGATCCCCCCTCGCTTCCCAGCTCCGCGCTCTCTTCCTTTCGTTCCCTCTGGCCGTCCCTCCCCGCTTTTCTTCTTCTTCGCCTCCTCATCGTCTGTCTCCGCGTGCTCTAATATGGCCAGCCGGTGTCCAATTACCCGCTCCGGTCTTTCACTCGCAGTTTTCGCGCGCGCTGTACATTTTCGCCGTCGGGCGCGACAGACGGACGGAGAAAGGATCCTCATCAAGCTCTTCTCCGCGACATGTTTCTCCAGTTTCCATTCTTTCCCCCTGCGTGCGATGCGGCTGACCGGCCATTCATTCTCGTTCAACCCATCTCTCCTCTCTCTCTCTTTCTCTCTCACGTTTCTTTCATCGCGACGTCGTCTTCTATCTCAACGAACGATCAGGAAATCGCGAGCGGAACAACACACAGCCTGGCGCAGTGAGAAAGGAACGGGAAACGCGGAAGTCCATTTTTCGGGCGCAGAATGGTGCCGGAGGACTTCCTCCGCTTTCGTTTCTCGCGGGTGAACGCTATTCGGCCGATAATCGACCGCGCGGTGTACGCGATTTCGCCTTGGCTCCTGTCCAAGCAACGCCGAAATCGAAGCCGGGGTACTCTCGGGAAGTGCTGCGCGAACGTACGACACCGATACGCGATACAACGAGGAAATGTCGAGACGACGACGGTGCCGACCAGCCGCGCCAATTATTTGTTGCCGACGACGTGGGGGACGCTTTGAGAGTTTGTTGCCATGCTGGTCAGGCTCATCGTAGTCTGATGGTAGCCACCGAGAAGAAACGAGACTCCAAATTCGTCAAAGAACGCGTGTTTGCGATCCGCGCAATTTGTATCTTACCGGTGCGGCAATAATAAGTCACTCCGCGTAAATATTGCCTTTCTCGTGCTTTGAGACGCGCGTCCGCTCCCGATCGCTAATAGCAATGTGAAAATCGCTAAGAAAGATGAGAAATCGTGGGAGGAGGGGGGAGAGAGAGACGCGATTGGGTAAATATTGGCGCCGTTTCCGCAACGGGTATCGCGCGCGACGTCGCTTTTTACGATTACAAACGCGAACCGCGCGCGCGGAGAAAAAGGAGGGAAGGGGGAAAACGGCGGAAAAATACGAGCGTTTATTTAAAAATGGTTTCGTAGCCAATTGCACCGAGCACACAGAGATGAACACTGTCGCTCGCGTGTGCCACGGTGTCTGATTTAACGTTGACTGCTTTCACTGCGCCGCGCGCTCTGTTTGCCATCCCTGGCCGAAATCATTTTTTTAAATCAGACGGTGGAAAAATCCGCTCGGCTTTTCGCGACGGCGCACGCCGGCTATTAGCATGGCGATGTCATATCGGAATACACGACTGGAAATGTCGTGCAAATTATGACGACGCCCATTTTCTCTTCCTCTCGCTTCCTTTTTATCTTTTTCTCTTTCTCTCTATCTCTTTCTGCCTCTTACTCTCTCCGTCTCTCTAAAGAGTCGTCTACAACGCGGTCGCAGTTACGTCTTAAAATCGCAGTGCTAGTCTGTGTGAGTCGGTCATGTACCTGTTTCTCTCGCGTGAATCCGTGAAAAATGAAAAATCCTATCGAACTTGTCAACGAGACTTTTCATTTTTCATGAATTCACGCGAGGGGAACAGGCATACACGTTATGCCTTAACATTTGCTACATCAAAAGTTACTAGATATTCTAGAATCTCTCTTTATTTGTTTCTAGAAATATATTTACTATGACTATAGATTATCCGAGGAAACGGCGACGACGTTCCAACGCCGCTGGGTCTCTGACAGCTCGAGCGGCTTATTGTCTGCCAAATTAGAAAACCTCCAAACTCCAATTTTTGAGGAAATTAAGATATTCGTCTGACTCGAGATTTTGCATCGTTTGAAAAAGCTTACTCAGTCTCGTCAAAAATTAGAATTTTGAGATTCTCTAATCTGGCAAACAATTAACTGCCCGAGCTGTCAGAGATCCATCCGTTGGAACATCGTTGCCGTTTCCTCGGATAATCTATAGTCATGGTATATGCAGTTCTCAAAATGAATATGTTCCAGAATATATCTAATAACTCTTCATCTAGTGAATGTTAAGGCATCTATGACGCCGTGTGTATAAGAGAATTGCATGTATGCCTAGCCATTCCCTAGTCCTAATCGAGAGTTACTAAAAATGTTCAACTTAAAACGCATTTTTAGATAGTTAAGGGTCATGACTGTTGATTAATTGAAGAAACTGCAAGCAGCTGTGACACTTGGACTTGACGTTTTGTTTGCGTTTATAATTGCGGTCATGCGTAATCATGACATTATTAATGATAACATAATCATAAAATATGAATAACGATAAAAATAAACGATAAAAATATGAATAACGATAAAAGCACTATGCTGACTGCCTTACAGCTCCTGAAAAGGTACAATTTGAAGATAAGTACTGTATATTCTTCGAATAATTTTAGGTTAATTAGGTTATTTAGGCGTTAGGTCGAAAAATTTTAGTAACTCTCGATTAGGACACACAAGGAATGGCTAGGCATATATGCAACCCTGTGTACATGATCGATTCACATCGACTTGACTGTCGATTCTTTCTTGCGGCGACTTGACCGCGACCGCGTTATAGACGACCCTTAAGTCGCACAGTTTCGCGCTGCCATTACGTTAATTGAAACCGCCGACGCTGCCAGCCTGGCGCACACACGTCCGGCTATTTTTTCTCGCCCTGATCCTGGCGACGTTCCGGTGATCCACCAATCATTAGCCGGCAGAGTCCTCGCCACGCGAAGTCGTCCTGCAACGCGGCCAAAATAGCGCCGTCGATCGCGCGTCACCTGTCGCCGAATATCTTCGTCCGGCGCATCGGCCACGATGACAGCGCGCTTAAATTTACACGACACACTCATGCATCATGCATCATACGCGAGCGCGGTGTCGATCTACGTGGGATGCGGATGCCTCGTGACGAGAGAACTCCGTGGTTCCTCGAAATTCCTTCGTGCCCAGATCTCGTCGCGTCGCGTCGCGCGTGGTCGCGTCCGTGGCTTAACGACAGTGATCTCTGCTTTCCAGCTGTCACAGCGCTGGATTTCGGCGACCGGGAAGCACTACCACTCGGGGACTCGTAGGGAGGTCCCCCAACCGGAAGAGACCGCCGTAAGGCGGTCAACAAATCAGGTTAGAGCTTTGATAAGTACACTGTTCGAAAAATCCGTATTAAATTTAATAACTGGGATGTGAAGTTTTTTTGCATAACCATGTTATAAAAAGTAATAGTAAAATATTATATTTAATAACACATAGTAATGAAACATCAGATTTTATTTTTCATAATGTTTTTATAATCATTTAGAAATTCTATTATGAAAAATTGACTTCTGAATAGCTCCGTTGAAATTTCAATAAAGGCTACGATGCTTTGCAAGCTGAATCTTTCAGACCACGTGACCGAAACAACTTCGTATTTATGATATATTAGAAAAATTATTCTAACATATAACGTGTTATGATGATAATTTAATATGGAATTTAATAAGAAAACATGGAATATAAGATAAAAAAAGATTAGATTTCATAAGAAATATGAAATATTATAACTAGTTTATAACTAATAATCCTAATGTTATGAAAATCTTCACTATTATTAATTTTAATATCAAATTTTTAAATTTACTTACAAAAATGCTATTATTTTTAAGAACTTTTTTAACAGTACAATGTACTAATACGCCTGGTATAACTTTGGAATATTTTTTAAATAACATCTTTCGCGCCCGTTACTTCGTCAAGTGCTTTGCAAATTGATGTTGGATACGTCGGTCAATGCAACTCGCGACAAGTATCATTCACTCGCTCGCTCACGCGAGCAATTATGCGCGAGCATTACGATAGATCACAAAATATCTTCGTTGTTTCTTACAAGAAGAAAATGCGTCAGGAATAAATTGTGCGGTTGGAAGGCTCGGCTAGCCACAATATTTATTCCTGTCAACCGCACAATTTATTCCTTATACATCTTCCTCTAATATAGAGAAAAAAATAACAGAAGTATTTTAGAATCTAATGTTAAGCAATTAACCTTGTGCGCAGGAAAAATTTTGTGGTGAAAATTGCAACAAAATTTTTGTGACCTTAGACAGTTATTGCGGATATTACTGCATATTTGCAAGGTAATGTGTACTTTTTATTACAAGATTATTATATTATAATTACTTGAATGTTTTTTTTATTTTATACACCAGAGAAAGATCGTCAAATTTACTATTCTTATAGTAATTTTATCACAATCTCAATTTAGCCCAATTTTACAAAAAAATATTGCGAGATAAAACATGATTTTGTCATAGTTTTTACTAGTTTTCTCTCCGTGCATATGAAAGGAATATTGTAGTAAAAATTACAATAAAATTTCTGTAACTATGGATTATACATAATTATAAAAATTTCTACATATTTATTTAAAAACGTTGTGCACGTTTGACTATTACTACCTAATTATTGTAGTTACTTGTGTGTTTTTTTATATCGTGTACACCTGGTAGATCATCAGATATATTTACTAAGAGAAAAATAAAAAAAAAAAAAATAAATATTTATTTGATAGATTCCAATAATATATTTTCTTACACTAATATAAAATCTCAAATATTATTAGTATTCATTGAATAAATAATTTTTACTTCTTGAATATTTTTCTCTCAATGCAATGTTGAGCACATTTATCTTGTTGACGTGCTACAAAATTCTTATAATTACTGGAACATCTTTTATATCGCGTGTTTTTGATAGATCAAATTTACTATAATAATTTCCTGTAATAATTTCTACCACAATTTCCGCATAATTCAGGATTTACGAAAAACATTGTGGAAACAGGTATAATTTTGATGTCATTTTTACTGCAGCATTTCCTCTCGTACAGATACATTCTCTCTGATAATAATTATATAACGACCACTTACGATCTTCCGTTGAACAGCTTTCGAAGGCGACCGCATTGGCGATTCATTCGCTCGTTGTTAAGCCCGGCATTTGGTGCATTAACGAGTAATTTCACAGCGACGCGTTAACATGGATGTTTGAATAATGGCGTGGCCGATCTCTTTGCCGTTGTAAAAATAATTACTCTCACGTAACGCGGTATTAACGAGTTTTATAATGATCCAGTTAGTGAACTTTGCCTGGTGCATTGCTGTAATCTCTCTGTCGAGTCTACCTGCTCATTAAAAGTAACGCCAAAATTTCTCGCCGAACAATATCGTATTATCGTGCCGCGTGGCGAGAGTTAATAGGAAAAAACGTTGGCGAACAAATGAATTCGCACTAATCAATCTTCGTCGCGATGGCCTGATGATCTACGGCTCGTCGTTGGCCGGAGGGTTGCTGACTCCCGCGGCTTCTTCCTCCACCCCCTCACTCCAACGTCTTCTCGACTTCTCACGTCTGATATGTAGAGAGAAAGAGAGAGAGAGAGAAAGAAGGAGAGCTTTGTTTCCGATGTTTTATGTCGCGCAAAGCTAACAGTGAATAATTATGTTTATCGATTAGCGGAATTGCGGATGATTACCCGCTTCGATTTATTACGCGAAAACTACGTCGCTTAGCGGATGATTAAAAAGTCGCTGTATCGACAAGAACCTCTGTCTGCTTACGTTATAATGAGAAGGGAATATTATTCACATACACACACATACAAACGTACAATGACACTGCGTCAGAAGTGCAAAACATACTCTCGCTGCTGTCGCAAGACAGAAAACGGAATATTAATTGCTTCCCAGATCGTAAATCTTAAATTATCAGGCGAATAAGTCGATGCCGGGCGTCACGTAAGAACGGAAAGGAAAACGCGAGATGTGAATTCTATCGAGACAACAGAACGCGCGGTGGAATTCCTGCGAACTTCTCGTTTCCACCCTTAATTTGTTGTCTCCCTTTGTCGTCCTTTTGTTTCTCGTACCACCAGCGCCGTACGTCACCACGTTCCGCACCCGGCAACACGCCGTATATTTGTCGCCGTGCAAAAAGCGTATTGCGACGCGGGGGCACGCGGAAAAATTAGCCGCGTCGATAATCCACGTCGGTCCCGCAAACGTTTACAGGATAAAACGCTCTCACGACGGCGCGCTATATAAGTCGGCCCGATATATCTCGCCCGAGTATGTGGGCGCAGGCTATGATTTATCGGTTTTAGAGTGGCGGTATGTAACGTCTGATATCGCATTGAAGTTAGTTATCGCGGACCGCCGGGCGCGTGTTATCGTGAAAAGCCATTGGCAGAATCGCGCGGGGCCGCCAAGTGAAAAATGGATCTTCATTTGTACAGGTGGATCTACATTTATGTCCATTCCCCCGCGGCGGGTACAAGAAATCCATTTTTCTTCCGACTTTGAGATCGAGAACCGCCCGGCACAAATGAGTCCCATCCCTCATTGTCAGAAGTAAATTCATCAATCGCTTTTTGCACGGAACATATGCTCTCGCGGCAGCGGCGACTTTCATGAGCGCGCCCACGCTCTTCAGCGTGCCGGAGCGATTATAGGCTCGGGAATTGTCGCTGGTCCAGCTGCACTGCGCGCGCGCGCGGCCGGAAACTCCCACCGAGTGTTTACCGCGTCGAATACGATGTAAAATGGAAAAGCGACGAGAGCGCGCCGAAAGTGAGACCACATTTTGATCTCTGTGTCCCGACATACTGGGTGTCCTGGGACTCTCCTCCGCAGCTTTTGTGGAAACGTAGAACGGATTGAGGCGAACATAAAAGTCCCGTATCGTTGCGCGATATTCGCAACAATAGTCGAGATGTTAATTAAAGAAGAATGATCACGCGCGATATGATAGATGAGCTGTAGTGGCGATGTACGCTTGTACATTGAGTGCAATTGAACGAAAAAGCCCTTTATCATTTTGCAAATAACCACGTAGATTTTTAGTTATTGATGAAAGAAAAGTTTTACATGATTGTGCAGAAATCTTTCTTGATTAATATCTAAAAATCTATGTGGTCATTTGCAAAATGGTAGAGGACTTTTTTGTTCAGTTTCACTTAATGTATAAATATATAATGATGCCACTACAGCTCATCTACTATGTCGCGCGTGATCATTCACTAATCTTCTTTAATTGATATCTCGAGATTTATTGTGAATATCGCAAAACGATATGGAACTTTTGTGTTCAGCTCAATCCGTTCTACGTTCTCGCAAAAATTTCGGAGGAGAATCTGGGACACTCTATATATATTTTCATGATTTCAATAACAATGGTCTCTCTAAAACATTTAGATTTTGAAGATATTGAATTTTTATTCGATATCAACCAACTATATATAACTATAGATATTTCGATATTTTTATCATTTCAATGATAACAGTCCCTTTCTCTGACACATTTCGATCGGAATTAAAGATATCAAATTTTTTCCCGATATTGACCGTCTGTATCGACATCATGATATGTTTTTTTATGATTTTTATGAGTTTTTTTAGAATATTCCGAACGGAATTACGCAAAATGTTGCGTAAAATTTGATACATTTAACATGTCCCGATTTATCCGCTCCAATTGTTGTGCTAATTTACCGCAAGACAAATATGCAAATGAATAACACGAGTAATACGTCGGAAATTAATGCAAAAGTATAACACTTGATCTAATTATTGCGTTATTTTAATATTTATGGAAACAGTAAATTTGTCAATTCAACGCAAAATGGTCAAATATAAATAACATAACGACAATCCGTTAAATTAATACACGAGATTATGTTAAAAATTTACCATAAACATTTCCACGCAGATTGGTTTCAACACAAAGTGTTTTTTACCGTGTACGGCATTCTTGCTTGATATTAGCCGATTTATCGTTGTGAAATTTACTCATTCAATGTGTGTGTGCGTTAAATATGTGCACAGAGAAGTTTAAATAATAATATTAAACTTCATATACGAGAAGAGCGGGAGAGATGCCGTTAGGTGTTCCACGCGGCATTTTGGCAGTATTTTGGCGTCGGTATTTCAGTGCAGCATGAGTAACGAGCTCTCGATGCTATGTGTAAGGATTATAATAATGCGACCGAAATGATGCGGGCGCGGAATTTGTGCAAATCCGATGATTCATCGATCCCACGCGAGAGGATTACTCCGTAGCGTTATTTACACTGCGCGGTGGAGCTCGTC